GACAGGAACAGGAAGGACCAAATAAGGAAAACAGGAACATGCACGTGACAGATATCAGACTGTACGTAATTAATACAAAAAGAGAGAAAAAATGTATGCAATCTTGCTAAAACTTTTTTTTATTATTATTGCTATTTTATTTTAATTATTATAATAAAATGTTCAAAATATATTAAATATAAGATTTCTGGACCATATTTTGTATCTGAAGACATAATATTGTCTGTCTGTGCTAGAGCTCAAAACAGCAGCATTCACTGCAATATGATTCTCACTAGAACTGCAGTGTCCATAATGATCCGTTATTAGGTCCCAGCTGCCTCTAATGATCACAATCTGGGTCTTTTTGCAAAGAAGCCTAATGCTGTATTTATTATGGGTCTGTTTCAAGATGTCTGTGTGTCCACTAGTGTAAGTGTCTAAGGCTGATTTCCACTCACATTAAAGCACAACCCATCACAATCTGTTTCAACCCTCGCTGCGTGCCAGAATCAAGAGAGAAAATGAAAGAAAGAGGACAAATGTGCAGCAGCAAGCCCATGTTTCTGAGAAATGGTGTCTCTTCCCAAGAGACCTGCGGAAGAATCCTGATTTTGAATCTTCTAGATACCTCTGGTGTCGCTGTATTTTGATTAAAACTGTTTTATCTAGCAATTAATTTGAAATTACGGTAATTTGCCTAATTGCTCCTTTATCCATTAGTTGCATTCGGCTCCCGAGGCTGCGTGATTATTCAGTCAGAATATGGGGCCCTCTAATTACACCCCGCAAATTTAATTAACATTTCAGCTCGTATCTGAAGACAAACTCACTCTGCTTTCTATTTCTGGTGGTACATTCAGAAAGAAAATGGAAATTTAGCTTTAAAAAGGGAACAGAAACAGACTAAATAGAACAATTTACTTTTATAGTGAGTTATAACCCTTTTTTTTTCACATATTGTGTGCAAAATTGTTTGCAAACATAGGAAAATTAGCTTTGACTGCTAATTCCTGTATTCACATTTATTGCACACATTAGTGGTCTTTCTTCCTACTTATCATTCTTCCATCATTCAGTTATTAATCAGCAGTAAGTGCAGCTCTCAGGAGCAGTGAAACATTACGGCGTCATTCTGTAAGCGCCGCTAATAGCTGATTAATGCTAATAGACCCAATGGAGGCAGCTAACGTAAGCTACTATAGCTGCAGCTCTGTTGACAGATTGTTTGATTAGACACTGTTGTCGCTGGTCAAGTGTGTTATTTAGCATGTATTTTCAATGTGTTGTTAAACTACTCAGAACTTCCTAGAAATCGCATAACAACATGCTAAAAATAAATCAGAACACCCTACAAAAAGCATAGTAACGTGCAAAAAACTACTTGGAGCACCATAACCATTGCACAGCAACATGTTAAAAAAATTCAGAACACCCTAGCATTCTACTCAGAACACCCTAGAAATCACATGGGGGTGTGCAAAAAACTACTCCGAACACTCTAGAAATGGCATATTGACGTTCTAAAAACTACTCAGGACACTCTAGAACTCACACATTGATGTTCTAAAAACTACTCCGAACACTCTAGAAATCACACTGATGTTCTAAAAACTACCCCGAACACTCTAGAACTCACACATTGATGTCCTAAAAAACACTCTAGAAATCATACATTGATGTTCTAAAAACTACTCCGAACACTCTAGAACTCACACATTTATATTCTAAAAACTACTCCGAACACTCTAGAAATCACATTGATGTTCTAAAAACTACTCGGAACACTCTAGAAATCACATTGATGTTCTAAAAACTACTCCGAACACTCTAGAAATCACCAGGGGTGTGAAGTAACGAATTACAAATACTCACGTTACTATAATTAAGTAGTTTTTATCAGAAATTGATCTTTTTTGAGTAGTTTAAAAATTGTGTACTTTTACTTGAGTACATTTTAAGTGATGTGTCTGTACTTTTACTCCGCTATTTTCCCTCCATTTGTGGTCATTACATGCTTGTTTTGATTTTATTTTTATCCATCAGCGTGATTGGATAGGGAAATCGGTCTTGTGACTCTCGTCAAATCAAATTGTGCATACTGCCAACTGCTGTTAATCATGGCTGCTGGAAGTGCATTCTTCAAGCATCAATTTATTTATCAGCATCTTCCTCTAATATGTTAAGGTCATTTTTGGATTTCTGCTTACTAAATTATCTGTATAGGCTAGCCTATCAACAAGGCCTGAAATTTGGTGTGAGGGTGCGGGTATTGCGTACAATGTTAATAACTCCCGCAAGTGCCACATTCATAATGTGGTAAATTCATTCCCATTTACTTCAGTATAGAGAGAGACGTGCGATCCTGCAGCAGTCATTTGGGGAAGTCGCAGCTCGTCGACTCCTGATGAGTTTGAGCGTGATGTGCTTGTGAAAAAGTGTGTTGGGAACACTCTAAAACATGGAAATAATGTACAAGATTCTGTATGCACCTTATTGATGAACCGTGGTGTTAATATACTGCATCTGTGTCAGCGCGTGATGTAATAAGTCAGCTCGTTAATAAAAGTTTTTTGTTTGATTCATTTTATACAATCCGCCTTCATTTAGCAAGTGCACTCAAGCAAAAACAATTTTCAAGTTCAACACTTGTTGTTTCATTCAGATGTAGATGCTGCTGATAGAGCAGCTTATTCACCGAGATCGCCGCAGCCCCACAAAGAGACGTGCGTTTGTTTGTGTGTGTGTGTGTGTTTTCTTTTGAAAAAGTTTCCCCGGAAATATTTGAATGAATTATACATTTATATAGCGCTTTATTGTGTATTGTTGTACACCCAAAGCGCCTTTACAATCATGTGGGGGGATCTCTCCTCAATCACCACCAGTGTGTAGCATCCACTTGGATGATGCGACGGCAGCCACAGAACAACGGCGCCAGTGCACTCACCACACACCAGCTACAGGTGGAGAGGAGAGAGACATAGAGCCAATCAAGTGGTTGGGTATTATTAGGAGGCCATGATTGAGACACCGGGGTTACACCCCTACTCTTTTACGAGAAGTGCCATGGGATTTTTAATGACCACAGAGAGTCAGGACCTTGGTTTAACATCTCATCCGAAAGACGGTGCTTTTTGTCAGTATAGTGTCCCCGTCACTACACTGGGGCGTTAGGACCCACACAGACCACAGGGTGAGCACCCCCTGCTGGCCTTACTAACACCTCTTCCAACAGCAACCTAGTTTTTCCAGGAGGTCCCCCATCCAGGTACTGACCAGGCTCAACCCTGCTTAGCTTCAGTGGGCAACCAGTCTTGGGCTGCAGGGTGATATGGCTGTATTTATTTCATTAAAAATTTTCCTTACAAATTGTAGAATCAGCATAACAATTTGAGTAAATGTGTAAAAGGTAGGAGATGATGCCCTGCTTCTAGAACAATGTGCATTTATGTTTAAGTTGTAACATAAATTATCATGTTTATGATTCTTATTTCTTTATCACATAACACTAAAACTGGCACCGTTTTGGAGAGAAAATGGCTCTTTTTAATCTCTCTTTTAACCCATCTCATGGTGTATGATGCTGAATTCTTGTATTTGTTTCTAATGGTTTTATATTCTTTGCATTGTTCTAAACAATATTTTTTGAGCAGCAATAGCATGCTCTGGCTCAGTGGCCTTGCACCTGATTTTAAATCTATTTTTTCAAAGTTTATGATTTAAATGGTGATGATTGTGCTGAGAATAACTCTTTCATCTTTTTATCACTTTAATAGTTTTTCCGTGTTGTTTTGATGCATTTTAAATAGTTGGCAGTCAAAATTAAAACTGCTGGATGATAGATATTCTTCATTCTTTCTGATAAACAACAAAAGATCATGTGAATTACAGTATGTACAATGTTTTCTAATCCACAGCTCAGTACTCACTACTCATGAGTACTTTTAAATAAGCTACTCTTTTACTCTTACTCAAGTAGTTTTTTGGACAAGTACTTTTTACTCTACTCACACTACTTTTTTTTGGAATGTAATAGTACTTTTACTTGAGTATATTTTTTCAGTACTCTTTCCACCACTGGAAATCACATATTGATTTTCTAAAAACTACTTAGAACACCCTAGAATTGGCATTTTGATGATCTAAAAATGACTCAGAACAGTAGAAATCGCATATTGATGTTCTAAAAACTACTCAGAACACCCTAGAATTGGCATATTGATGTTCTAAAAATTACTCCGAACACTCTAGAACATCCTAGAAATCCCATAGCGACATGCTAAAAACTGCTCTGAACATCCTAGCGACCATATTTTAAAGTATAGCAACAAATCTGTTCACAACAATGGACCGCTGACCAATGAAGTCGAAGTGCATTTATAGCACTTGGGGGTCCAATAAAAGCACAAACGGTAAATGCTTGTCATGTATCTGTAGAACTGTGTGAGTTGAAGTGCCTTGTATTGAGATTTTGATAACAGCTTCAATGGTGGCTTTCCAGCAAATTATTCCCATGTCCATCTCCTGAGGCTTTTCTTTGGCAATGGCGGTTTTACGGCACCACTTCTCGTAATAGCCTATTGCCTAATTTCGCTACCAGTTACAGCTTTTATTGCTCTTATCATTCACATCTCTCTCTCCTTCTACCGCGGTCTCTCTTATTCATGCTTTGGGTTTCTAAGTTTGCTCTGCCTTTTGAGGAATAGTACTCCCAAAATTGAATTTAAAAAAAAGCATCATAGAAATGGCATAAAACAGAGCCATATGACTCGTGCACTATATTCATAGTCATCTGAAGTAGATGTGTTGGAGAAACCCAAACTGGATGAACGGTTTAATTAATTAGATTATCATTTTGGGGTGAACTATCCCTTTAAAATAATTTTTCTCTGTCTAGAGTTTTCCCAGCAGCATTCATTCATATTCATCTCTCGCTGTTTATTTCTCTGCATCCTTTATAGTGTCTTTCCACAGTGGGCTGCATTATACTCCCTCACAGTCTCTTTGCTTTTCTCTTTAAGCAGAAAGCAGGACAGACCAGCGGCCCTCCACCCATGCGCCTCCCCCCACCCTACAGACCCCCCAGCCAAGTGCAAGAGGAGGAGCAGCAGGAGGAAGAGAGCGAGGATGAGGAGCAAGCTAAAGGTGAGAGTCTGCTGATCATGACAAACTGAACTATATGTCCTTTACTTACATCACTGGCTATGTTCAATCACATACCACCATACTAGTCTATTATTTTGTAGCAAATAGTATGGATACGTTGCAGATTTTCTGTATACATGGAATACCTGTATAACCTAATACATTTTCATTATTAGGGCTGTCTGTTTGTTTGTTTATAAATTCTATTTGAATATGTAGATGTTTAATTGAATGAAATTATTAATAATAAATAATAACAAATAATATTAATAAATAGTATATTAATAAAAGTAAACAAGTTGAATAAATAGATATCGAATTGAATAAAATTATTAATAATAAATGAATATTTGCTTAAATTGTTTAAAGAAGAAAAAGATATTAATGATTTACTTTACATTTGGAATTTATTTTATTTAATTAACATAATATTTTTTGTAATCAGTTGACAGCCATATCCATCCATCCAGAGTTGTGCAAATAATTATAAAAACATTAGAGTGAGATATTTTGTATGCTTGGAATACAGTTTGCATTAGGTCTAGTTTAGTATAATTTATTTTATTTTATTAAAACTAATAATAATAATACGTTTTGAATCAATTGATTTTAAATTATCTATCTACATTTTTTTTTTATCAGTTGACAGCCCTTCCTATTATACAGTCGTGCAGTTAATTGCAAAAAATTATGTAATGTGCAGTATATAACACTGCACTGCACTTGGTAATTTGTCCCAGAATGCAGTGCATTGAAGAGGACATGGATTAATTACCATTATAATAACTGGGCCACACTTGCTGAATTAAACATGCAGCTTGGAGAGGTCATGTGACTACTATATACTGTTTGAACCATTTATCATTGCGCATATTGCTCAGTATGCTGTAAGCAGTACACTATTATTTTATTCCAAACATAGCCAGTGTCTTAGGAAGTGGCATGCTGAAACATTGTTTTAAACAATATCTGTAGCCGTACAATAATGTGTCCTCATTACAGCATCCCAGTACCAGATCTCATTCACGTAATCTGGGCTGGCAGACTTTCTCAGCCTCACACCGCCGCTCTAATCTCTTTCCACTTTGATGGTCCTCAATATGCCGTGCAGGCTGTGCGGCGTCTTTTTCATTCTTGTCCGCCACCGGCCATTTGACTGGCTCTGTTCCCGGATGCTATCCGGCGAGCACTTCTTGTAAAATCTTGTAGTGTGAAATTGAGTCTGCGTTGAATTGCGTTGAGATGTGCGGTATTTAGGAGATGGTGAGTAGGATAGGACCAATGAAGTGGTTACGTTCAGTTAAAGTTGCGGTGATGTGGTGTAGTGGTTGAAGATCCAGATTGGAAACTTAATTGTGGTGGGTTTGAGCCTTACAAGGGAAAATACGACCTTTCAGTATCGTGTCCTTGAGTAAGACACTTTGACTTCAGGTTGGTCAAGGTTGCTGACCTTAATGTTTAACAAAGAATCATCATAGAATTGCACATTAAATCCATACACAATGTAGTTTCTCCAGTATTTTTTTACTATTTACTACTATTTATAGCATTTCATTTGGCTTTCACCTAGTGTGACAGTGTCAGTGTGAAAAATGACCGATTAGCATGAAAAACAACTGGGTTGTGACAGTTTTGTGACCAAATTTATGTTTTTGCCAAAACAAAAGTGAAAAATACAAAGCTGCAGGCTTACACTCTGACTGTTTAGCATTTAGCTTCTGTTAGCATTTAGCATTGCTGTTTCGTGCCACGTACTGTATCTTCATTGCATGCAAATTCTTCTTATGAAGTGATTTTAAATTTAAAAGTCAGCATCTTGAGGCTGTAAAATATGAACATGGAACTTAAGCCCTTAAATTAGACACTTTTGTTGTTGTCGACCTCTTGTATGTAACCATTTAGCTAGCCGGCTAAATGTAAAGTTCGACAGAGGTACTACTTCTCACGTTGCTACTTGCTAGTTTCAGCTCATTATTTCCCACATTCCACATTTGGACAACATTGTAATGAAGAATGGGTACAAAGCTGCATGTATACACTGTAAATGTGTTGCTTGGGCTTCTGTTAGCATTTAGCTTCTCCGTTTTGTGCACTTGTGTCTTTAGTGTGCATGTATTGTTCTTATAAAGTGATTTTCAATTTAAAAGTCAACATCTTGAGGCTCTAAAATATAAACTTGGAACTTAAAGGGGTCATATGATGCTTTTTTTAAAGATCATTATTTTGTGTATTTGGTGTAACAGAATATGTTGAAATGCTTTAATGTTCAAAAAAACCATTATTTTTCAAATACTGTACATTATTGTAGGTCCTCTATGCCCCGCCTCTCTCAAACACGTCGTTTTCCACAAAGTCGTTTTAGGGGGGCGTGGCAGAGTCTTAACTTTGATAAAGAATATCTCTTTGGTTTTGAGACTTTAGTCTTTAGCCTTGCAACTTCAGGGATCTTATCTATGCACAATCAGCTTGTAACACTCCAAAGAGAAAGGAAAACTTGAAATCGCATCATATGACCCCTTTAAGCTTGTAACAAAGTTTTTAGATTGTGTTTATTCAACATTCAATAAATCCGACACAATATTACTCTTATCTTAATCCACGAGCAGACGTTTTCTTATGCCGAGGGATTATGCAAACTGCTGACTAGGTTGTCCTGAACGCGCTGGAGTGGAAAAAGAAAAACCTCTCTAAAGCAGTTCGGCATGTTGAGGCCTACAGCAAAGCTGACGTATTGAGTTCCATCAATCCATTCAAAGAATTCTTTGATTGGTTTGACAGAAGCAAGATGAGGTAACCTGAAGTAATTTATCACCGAAAGCTCTTGATTTTGACACTAATGGTTTTGTTTTTCTGTCCACCACTTATATAAAACATGCTAATGTTTAGCTAGCAAGGCTAAATATAAAGTTCAGATAAATGATACTTAGTAGTTTCAGCTCATTATTCCCCACATTCTGCACAATTCAGACAAAAAATGAGATGGAGAATGTATAAAGCTGCATGCATACACTGTGACTATGTAGCTGTTAGATTTTGGCTTCTCCATTTAGTGCTACATACTGTCTCTTAAGTTCAGTTGTTCTGATAAAGCTATTTTAAATATAAAAGGCTCTCAAAACATCTCAAGGCTCTAAAATATGAGCTTGGAACTTAAGCTCTTGAATTAGACACTTATGTTTTTATTGTTCTGTTCACCACTTGTATAAAACATGTTACCGTTTAGCTAGCTAGGCTAAATGTAAAGTTTGATCAAGTACTACTCGTGTATGAATGTAAAAAAGCAGCAAAACTCGAGAGCTTGTTGATTTGAATGTGAGAACTTGTCATATTAATATTCGTATTTGCAAGTCGAAATTTACGCTCACAGCTCTGATGTGAAAAGCTGAATCTTTCGATTTGCACACACAAACAATCAAAGCACCCGTGTTTTGAATGCAAAGTTGCAGATTAAAGGCTTTTGCTGCTCTTTTACCTTCATACTCAAGCTACTATTTGCTAGTTTCATCTCATTTCCCATATTCTCCACAATTTGGACAACAGTGTGATGGAGAACACCTACAAAGCTGCCGGCATACACTGTGAATGTGTTGCGTTTAGCTTCTCTATTTTGTGCAACATACTGTATCTTTAATTCAGTTGCTCTTATAAGTAAGTTTAAGTTTGAAAGTTTAAGTTTCAAGAAACTCTTGAATTATGTGTTTTTGTTGTTTTGTCAACCTCTTTACAACTAGCCACCATTTACCCATGAAGGCTAAATGTAAAGTTTGATAAAGTACTACTTCTGAAGCCGCTACTTGCTAGTTTCAGCTCATTATTTCACACACTCTCTGCCATTTGGAGAACAATATTGTAGATGATAAATGGCTCTCATGTGCCTAGTCACTTTGGATGAGCTCAATAACTGTTTTCTATCTGCGGCCTGAACGGTTCTTCCTGTGAAGCTTGTCTACTGGTGAGTTTCTGGTGAGCTGGTTTTGACAAGCACATATGTTTGTCCCGTTGCTACCTTCCAATCTGTCGGTGATAAATTACTTCAGGTTACCTCATCTTGCTTCTGTCAAACCAATCAAAGAATTCTTTGAATGGATTGATGGAACTCAATACGTCAGCTTTGCTGTAGGCCTCAACATGCCGAACTGCTATAGAGAGGTTTTTCTTTTTCCACTCCAGCGCGTTCAGGACAACCTAGTCAGCAGTTTGCATAATCCCTCGGCATAAGAAAACGTCTGCTCGTGGATTAAGATAAGAGTAATATTGTGTCGGATTTATTGACTGTTGAATAAACACAATCTAAAAACTTTGCCTAAAACTTGACGCAACAGTATTACAAGGCGTTTGCCTTGCAATGTAGGACGTGTGATAAGACGACCTCTTATGTCAGGATTTGCTGATGCGCATTCATTTTGTATTTTAAATTGCACACTATTACCAAACGGTTATTGCATAACTCATATTTGCTCTCCTAAAAATCCTCTGTAAGTAATTACAATATTCTGGCGTATTGTATGCAGGACGTAGTGCTGCTTCCACACTAGATTTATACATGTTTAGGAATGAGTGAATGCTCCATCTGTTCGTATCTTCGGCGAAGGCAGGGGAGAAGGCCGTCTATTGTTTGAGGTTGAAACAGGGACCTTGAAGCAGCTATTTATCTCAGTTCAGAGCATTAGTCAGCTTGATGAATTATAAAAGGCTCGCAAGATGGCCAATGGAAAAACGCCACAATGAAGCCAAAAGGCCCATTTTTCTGTTCAGATCTGTCTTTGGCAGCATTGGTTTTAACAGTTTCCTTGGAGGAATGGTTTTGTTTTGTTTTGTTGTTTTTTTGAGGTGTTTAATAGTAGTAGGTCATTTGATGATGATGCTGTTTGTTATTTGGATGGTATTTCATATCACAAAAAGATACTTCTTGGCCAAATTGAGCTCCAGTGTGGACCAGACTGTATGCTGATTGTCAAAAGTCTGGCTCCGTGAGATCACGTCCAAGTAGTTACCGGCCT